GTGCGTGTGTGTGTGTGTGCGCGTGTGTGTGTGTGTGTGTGTGTGTGTGTGTGTGTGTGTGTACGCATGCGTGACCCTTCTTGATGAAAGTCACATGTGAGATTACGCGATATTGTGAGCGTAAGAAAATGCGTCCAGAGCACGCATGCAAAGAAGGATGCCCGCTTGAAAGGCTGCGCCTGCAGGGACCTCGGAGCACAAGATGATCATCCGCCGCCGTCACCACCGCCGCCGCCACCGCCGCCGCCGCCGCAGCAGCAGCAGCAGCAGCAGCAGCAGCAGAGCAGCAGCTGCGCGGCCCAGCGGGGGCGTCGGCGGCTGGCACCGGGTGTCGGCACCTGCGCGTGTGTGCAGGCCGCCCACCTGCGCATGGATGTGCGCCAGCCCCTGCAGCAGCCCCCTGAGCACCTGCCACGCGTCGGCCTCCTCGCCAGGCCCCTCTTCCAGGACCTTTGTCAATTGGGAATGAAAAAGCAGCCGGAATTCGGACCGCAGAGGGAACGGGCTGATTGCATGTACAGGGGGTTTGATGTCGACAATGCACGCATGGGGTGCCACTCGCATGGGACCAATGTCCCTGGGCTGGGTGTGCCGTCGGAGGACGAGCTTTGCGCCGGAACGAGCCTGACAGGCGGCGACAAAAAGAAGCGCTTTGGACAACTGGAGACGGCCGTGCCTGGGCGGCGGCGTCAGCTCCCTGTCCCCACGGCTCCACGCGTTGCAGTGAGCTGCGGCCCACCTTTGAGAGGGTCCTGGGGCAGAACTCCATCTGTTGAGGTTGACATTGGGTTGAGTCGGGGTTAGCGTCGAGGCTCGATTGAGTTGGCGTTGGCATTGAGTTGGGTTCGGGGTGGGGTTGGGAGAGCAGCAGCGATGGTTGGGGCAGGCACGCTGACAGGCTGACATGACTCGGGCTGCACAGGACCGTTGGCACCGTTGGCACCGGTGCCACCGGTGGGCCGGCTCGGGTGCAACACACTGACTTGCGCACGCACGGCGACACCAAACCGCGTAGAGTCCAGGTCCGGGCAGCCGGGTTAAGTGTTTAGGGTTCAAGGTGGGAACCCACCATACACCACTGGATGGCTCCAGGAGCGGGCGACCGCGGGACGCTGTAACAATCCTAATCCTAATCCACCACCCCCCTTCAAAGGCCCGGAGAGTGGCAATGCTCTTGGCAATGCTCTTGGGTGTTTGCGGCAGCACACTACAATGGACTTTGAAGCAGAGGTGCAATCCATGCACGCAGCGCCCACCTGTATGTACAGCATCTGAGTCGGCCCCTTGTCCGCGCCCCTGCCCGGCCGCCGCGACGACCCCCCTTTGGCACCCCGCGCCCCCGCATTGCCTGCGGCTCGCCCCGGCGC